AATTCAGGTTCCTTTGTTGTCTAGAGTGAAGCCGTCTGGTTCCTTCAAGCAGCTTCACGCACATGTCTTCTCGATTTCTCCTAGCAAACTCACTACAATAAAATGCAGGCAAAGGTTACACACCCAAGAGACGCAACGCCAGAGCACTGCACTTCTGGAGCAACCCACGTGGTTTCACTGCTTCCCTAAGAAGGAATGCGTGTATGCACACATAGACGGCGATATTGAATGCAAATCGTAAAGTAGAGCTTTGGCGGTGATGCACTTCAATAGAATTTAGGCCTTTGTGTGAATTTTGCCATTTTTGATTGAATTCAAATACTTCTACTGCCAACAACGTACTTACTGTCTGGGGGTTGTGTGTAAGTCAAAATGCTAGTTACTTGTCATGTAAGTGATGAATCGAATGTCGCGAAAGTGTTCATATATGAACTCCAAATCCTTCTTCTCTGTCAAATCAAGCAACATAAAAAGTAATCTGGAGGGCAGCAACCCAAAGGCTACTTGTGTTGCCTTGAATTGCAATTACGCCAAAATCTAGCTAGAAGCAAGATTTTGGTTCCTCGAACAGGTGCTTAGCTATTCCGAAAAACCATATTCGTGTTGACGCCTTCAAGGATCTCGTTGCAGCTCCAAATCTTAGCAAAATCACATTGGACCATACTATTTAGTTTTGCATATCAAACCATTATGTGAACCACCAGAAAGAATGCAAGTACTGTTTAGTAATTGATGTTTCCATAGATAATGCCGTAACCACTTGCCATTCATGTTTTCCCTAGCAGAGACTTTCTCGCCAATGCCTGGAACGAAGGTATAACTGCATAGCTTTGTCCCTGCTGGAAAATCCATGTTGTCGGATAAATTTGAGTCTGCAACACCAATTTCTAAATGTCGCTTTTGTTCCTCTCATGCTTATTGAAGAGGATTACCTGATGTCTTACTCGACATGTAATTCACAGACGACTTTTGTAACTTCCGTACGGGCGGCAAATGTTAGATAATTCATCACTAGGAGTAGCTCGAGAATTCCATTGGTAGACGAAAACCATGCTTACACTGTGCCAGCCCGTTCAAGCTGTGCTGTCGTCGTGTTGATTGCTGAGTGCACACTCACCCACCCACCTACACTGATGTGTAAGCGCGTTTTTCGTTTCTTGAGCAGACAGCAGTTACCTGATTGGTTGCCAGAATGAGAAAGACGAAGTGACCAACAGGGTTGACCGAGTGGACCCTTCGACGGTCGCGTCGCCTGTGCAGCGCTGATGCCACTGGCACACCACTAGTGTTCTGCTGATGCTACTGCCAACAGTCACCATCTCTCCGTATTCGGTGGATGGAGTAGTAATAATATGTCATCGTGCGAGAAATTTGACCCCGCAACGAACAGGCGAGCTAATGTTACCAATTCTCGACATGAATTCCGATAAGTAATGAATCACGGGTTGTATCAAAAACTAATCAAACTGCGAATAGGAAATGTTGGTGGCTAAATTGTTTTCCTACTGCACGTGCTGATTCTAGGGTAATGAAAAACCTGGCGATCCACGTTGCGCTGCAGGATTACCTTGGATCGCTCGCATTATTGGGTGGTCTTTGTTAATGCTTTAAGAAATTGGTCATTCACAAAACCACATGATAAATATTTGTCGATGGAATACCTACACAAACATAATGGCAAATCACCCAGGCCAAGTGCATAAATGCCGTCGACTTGGCTTTATGGGTGTCAGTCCTGAACGATGGAGTATATGACTTGTTGTTTCATTTCGTCTTGCATATTTTTTGCGATTTCTTTTAACATTCATCACAAATTAGTCTGTACTAGATCAAACAAATTGTAGATTTGTGATAAAATGAGAAAAATTGATGTAGCAGAACGAGATCAGCTTAAGCAACTGTCGAGGTTTAGCTATTCGCTGCCTGTACCATTCTTATGGGCGATCTGCCATTCAGGCGTGATTAATGAGACTGTTCTAAACAGGCATGATCCCGAGAAGGACGGGAAACTGCCTGCTAAATAACCTGAGGGCTGGCGGTCATTTGCCTTTTCCAAGTTGTAAGGCAATTAAAAGCAGCAGCTGTATGCTGTAAAGTGCGCAACTACATAGAGGAAATGTATGGCAATGTTCCCCTGCTAAACCCATAACTCATATTGCCTTTTTTTCCTCTCGCTTCATCTATTTTCTTTTTCAAGTAGTCTAGCAATCTCGTTCATTTTTCGACGGAAACTTGTGTTTTGGTAGAAAATTTTACTCAGACAAGCGTGAGTGAAGCCTATTCACGGTTGATCGAATGTCATCGTGTGTGGAGTGAAGTCAATGATTGCATATATTCACTCACGTAGTCAGCTATAAAAGACAGGGTTGGACTGATGCAAATAAACTGCCGCATTCGCCGTTGTCAGTGTTGTATCTCTACTCCGGTTGCTGCGGACTGTCAACTAGCAGGGTTGTTGACGCCAAGCTAACGAGGACAGCAACTATGGCAATATGCCAACAGCAATGAACAAGACTCTTGATACTTCGGAGCCGCCTCTGGCAAACTACATGGTGACGGCTCAGCAGATCCCTCGAAGTAAGTGCAGACGGGCTGAATACACTTCTTAACCCGTCGTGGAAGTTCAACAGCAGTACTCCATGCCTGTAACAAACGAATTTGAAACGCCTAGTGCTCACCACCAGCCACCGCTTAACCCGGATCATACGGTCTCCAGAACAATTATCCCAAGACTACTACCAGGCGACGACCGATACCGCAGACCCGAGATCTCAATGCGCTATTTAAGAACTAAAAGCTAACTGGGTAGTCGAAGTACCCATAATTGCTGGAACCATCTATATGCCTGCTCAGCCAGTTTGCCGAGCTCAGCCTCAACAAGACACCGTGTTGACTCAAGTCGGAGCATCCAATTTCTCCAGTAGCTCACTCAGCATCAATCAAAATGAGATCGCAACTTAGTCAAAATCTACAGCTACGGTGCCTTCAACGAGACGGGGACTTCGTAACAGTAAGTTCATTGGTTTACAAGTGTGATGCATAATCGCTACCATTCAAACCTCTCCATCTTAAGTCTCTATCGGTGAGTCACGTTCTAGGGAGAATTAATCAGTGATTAGCTAGTGCACAACTCCACGGATTGGCTGGTTTGTTTAAAGTAAATTGTCATAGATTCGGTATCAGGCAATTTGAGCTAACTGAAAGCATGTAGGTACCTTTAGGTCTTGCTGGTTTAGCTTAGGTTCCTTAGTGACATTTGTGGAAGAAAATGAAAGTGTGAAAATCGGTTTATTTGTCAAATTCCAACATTATAGACAACAGAATAATTAGAACCAAAATCAATCAAACACATACCTGAAGCAGTCTATTCAAACGAGAATAGTCTTTGTAAATGAAACGTTCTGTTGCATCAACAAAACGTTGAGTAAATTTTCTGCCGGAGTTATTTAGAGCGACTTGCTACTTTACCGTCTTCGATTTGATCTAGGTGAAACGCGGAGATGGACTGACAGGGGTTTGGATATGTGCAGGAAGCTACGTAGAGCAGAGATCACCAACACACTTGAGCAAACCGACAGACTGCTTGAGGCGTTAGTCGGTGCGTTGTATGCAAACCTCGGGAGGCATATATTTCCAGCATTCGGCCAACGACCAGGAGTCTGGATTCCACCAGCAAGGATATTATCAGTCGCAACGACAAATATCTCTGCCCCTCTCAGTACTTTCCTTACCACCTTCGAAAACCGTGAGCTGGCTGACGACATTCCCCACAGCCAGGTGGCGCATCTTACAGCAATGCCGAGCGGGTCCAGCAATGGTTCGGCTGTGAGCGTGAGAAGACGCAAACCACACACGCAAGCGGCTTCACAGACAGCTTGACGTGTTCGCCAAAATGTGGTCCATCAACCTCACAAAGAGGTCTAAGCTCGCTGCCGAACTTGGACTTACGCAGACACAGGTTCGTCCAGGTTTATTTTCCTATTGTTCCATACAATAGGTTATTGTTGGAGATGACGATGTTAGAAGAGTGGCAGATCTATCCGTCAGTACCACAGGGGTTCGAATTCATGCCCGATAGCACCTGCAACGTGTAGTAACACCACGACTACTACTTCTACTGCTGCTGCTTCAAGCGACAATGCTTTCGCAATGTTGACGTTTGCCTGGTCATTTCAGCCACAGTGCACACCGCGTTCGCCACGCAGGTTAGTTCTGACGGTACTTCGGCCAGAAGCCCAAACACGATTACGTCATCGCCCACCTAGTCGCCGACCCGAAACACAGCAGCAAGGCAAAGGAATTAGCACTTACCGAGAACCAATCTGCCTTACTACCAGCATTATCTGCCACATCCTGCTTACCATATGCAAAATAAACCTGGACTCACCTGTGTTTGCGTCAGGCCAAGTTCGACAGCGAGCTTGGACCTCTCCGTGAGGTCTAAGTACTGCCTCTGGGAAAACACATCAAGCAGCCGGCGGAGCTGCTCGTGTGTATATTTAGTGCGTGGTTTTCGGGTTCTCATGGGCAAACCCGAAACACTACTTCACACCCTCACATTTCTTGTATCACGTGCCAACTCTCTGTGAGGTGGGGGATAGCCTTCAACCACCTCGCGACTTTCGGAGTTGGTGAAGAAGATACTGATAGGGGGTAAAGTCATTTGTTGCCTCTTCGGCTGATAATCTCCTTGCTGGAGGTTGCCAGACGCCTGTCCGTTGGTCTCGAGATGAGAATAAAAGCCCCAATTCGGCATTTTAAATAACCATGAAGACTTGCTACTCTACACACAGAGTTCAGAGAGAATGATCACGGCCACCTTCTAGCAGCAATTTATCTACTTTGAGTGTGCGTGCGTATGCCGTGCATTCTACTCCACCAACGACACGTCGTCGTCAATCGGTATGGTAAACTAGCGTCGGTTGCAAGCGTTCCTTAGCTCTTTGTCAACAAGATCTGCTGAAAGCACAACAACCGCCGTCGCCGAGACATCCCCAACACACAGACAGTAACTCGACATCGCTGGCATTTCCCCTCGAACCAGGTTCATGGTACACAGAAGCAACACAGAGAAGAGATGTCATGGAGTTGAAATGAACGTATTTTCGCCAGCTGTATTATTTCGAAAACACTTTGTAAAAGTTCCTTATTACAGTTAAAATGATAACTGCAGAAAAGTTTCCGTATCATTTTTCCTTGTGTTTAATTTTCTAGGGGATGTATGTCGGAATGGGTGGTTTCATTGGCGCTAAGGCCTATCCATGCGTCCCATCACGGTTCTACATGATGGTAGTGCGGACATCGCAAGCACAACGATTCAGTCAGGCTTCGCTCGATGGCATTAATTCTGCCTCACGGCACACTAGTGGATTCCGTTATATTGAGTTCGGTTAGTGGTTCAGGAAACTAAGGCTTTGCGTTTACACTATCTTGTCCTTCATCCAACCCAGTAGCTCGTACGCTTTGTTGAGCAGTCACATGCCAGCCAACGTCGTGGGAGTGATTATCATAGCATAAGACTTGGCTGATCATCATAGGTTTAGTCTAATGGTGTTTTGTGGGACTTTGTGGACACACTGAGGAGATTCAAAGCTGCTGTCGACTCTGCGATGTCGTTTGAGGCACTGCTAACTAAAGTACAAAAGCACTGATCGCGTGATGAACTCTAACTTAAAATATGTGGAGCTATTACTGAATTGCCTTTCGAATGCTTGCTCGTGATGCCCGCGAGACGGAGGCCGCACAACGTCGTGGGAGTGTTAAGGTGATGATAACAGCAGGAGATTTGGCTGATCGGCATAAGTTTGGGCTAATGGTGTTCTTCACTAGTAACTAATTTGAAGACCGGTTAGTTGACTCTTATAAGGAATTATGTGGTAAGAATTGAATCAAGTAAAATGCGGTTGTGCTGGTGTTAACGTTGAACCACAAATGTCATTGACATTAAGGTCGCAGCTGATGACGACTAACGCGTCATCAGGTTTTGCTACTTTGCACTTTTAGTTAGCAAAATGCTAAACGGGCAGCTAACAACGATTTCGACCAGTCGCAGACACGCATTTTTAATCAAGCAGATTTCATCCAATGCCTGAAGACAGCATCGAGGCAACTTTGAAATTGGGACATTGCTTTTGTCAATGCACCAAGGTGTAGATCATGTCGTTATTGTTTGGGAACGAGAGCCTTGGTTCACCTCCTCAAGACAAGTCGGATGTACTTCATCTGAACTCAGTGTCTGCTTGCAACCAGCTGTAATCCATTAAGCTGGCGAAATGATTTAATTAGCCATGCGGAAATGTGCGTCCTCTGCATCGTCTATTGTGGCCTCAAACTACTTGTATACACATTTCTATGCCAAAGATGAGAAAATCGTTTTGGTTTTCTGTGGCCACACTGACATGTCTGTGTTACAAAGGGCAGCCACCTTGACGCCTAACCTTCTTCAATATTGTCCAAAGTGATTGAATAAACTGACGATCCGACTGTTTGGACGAGATGTAGTTAGTCTCAACCCTTCCGGAAAGTGCTCTAACTCGGCTTGAGGGCCAGTCGATTAGTAGGAGATTTCATGAACGCGACGCCCCGTTTGAGCAGTTGGACAATAGTTCGATGAGGGTGAAGAGTGACTTGCAACCAAACTACTTCTGTCATGCCCATCTACTCATGTGACCCAGCTAATGCAAGAATGTCTTATTTCCGCTGATATTTAGTGATTTTTTGGTCAAAATGCTGTGAATTCCTCTGGGTCGGCTTGGTAGTCATGGCCTTCAGTAGCCTCTCTTTCACAACATGTACGCAACAACATCATATATTTGAACACGTAGCTTTTATACGAAATGCAACTCAGAGGAGAATGCTCTCTGGCCTAAACTTCTACAACACAAACTGCAACAAAATTACTTTTTCAGTCACTGATTTTCTGCTTTGCACCTGCGTGACACTGAACCACAGTCTGACAAAGGCACTAAAAGACTCACTCGCGCATTGCCAGTATCCTAACGTTCGAAAAACAAGTGCAGAAGATGTTGACGCATTTGAGATGATAGCTGCAAAACCACGTGTTAAGGATTGTCAGGAATCATAGCTGGCGGATCATGACGTTGCATGTGGCGTTAGCAGCGTTTCTACTTTCTCGTTCCGGCCACCAGTCAGGTAACTGCTGTCTGCTCGAAAAACGAAAAACCAGCTTCCGCATTAGTGTGGGTGGGTGGGTGGGTGTGAACTTACCATTCAACACGACGACAGCACAGCAGGTACAGGCTGGCTCAGTGTGTGGATAACCTGAACGATTGAAATATTCTGCCTGTTGATTTCCGCTTCAAATTCCTTGCCATTGTTGCACCTTGTCCTATAATGGTGTTTCAGAACTGAGTGGTGAAACGACGGTATGATGGAACGATACATGTGGAATGCTTATAATGACCTCGTATTTACTCAATTTCCGCACCTCCTATTCAGGCAAATATGGTTGTCCATCCGGTTGAAACCGCAAACGCTGAACTGCGTGCATACGATGAAGTTTAGGCCGTGCTGCATTATTAAGACGTTCGATGGGGTCAGCATCAAAAACTCTCCGGATTGAAAATCGCTTCAAAGGAGCACAAATAAGGTGGCTGATTAAGTGTTCCACAATTGTCAGTTTTCAGTCAACTCTGAGGTGAAGAACAGAAAAAAGACCATGATATAGATGGAAACGAATCACAAGTCACGTGGCTAGCTGCTATTAAAGCATTGTTTACGAATTCACCCCTGGCTAGTTTAGTAGGTGAATTGCGGTTATTGCAGGTGGGGAGTTGTGAAACTGCGTGATGGATTGCTCCGCTGCTAACCTAGGTGCTCACGAGCTCACTTGATAGCCAATGAGCACTGTGCACACGCGCACAAACCACTGAGTCACTGGGTGTGAGCGTGCTGTGAAGGCGACTGCCAGCCACTTCACCCGGCATCTGCTCGCGTCGAGGTCGCGTGCCCCTGCCACCACGGTCTCCTCATTTTCTCCGTGGTGAGTCTCGAGAAGAGTAAAGGGTGAGCGTCAGTTTATCAGTGATCTGTGAAGGGTATATTTGCAGGGCATCGCTGCTATGGCAACATCCCACCTTCAGCCTCTCATGAGTGCTGTATGGTCGAGTACTTTTGCAGCATCTTGTGTTACATCTAAATGCGCACCTTATTCAGCCATTCCAATTAGTTTAGTTTTTTTGGACTAACTCCAGTCTGGCTACTCGTTAAACGCGAGTCTTCCTGTTTTCCAATTAAGTGAGTTCTCTTAAGCGTGGTTGAATGCGTTTGGTGGTGGTTCGCTAGCAGTTCCAGGGTTTGTTGAGTTATGCAAACAGATGTAGTGTCAAAGATTTTGTTGCAAAGATATGGAGACTGTGGTGGCTGGTGGAGTTGGCCTCTTCGCGGGATGGCGGGTGAAGAAGATAGTTTTCCTCGTTCTAGTGGACGTGACCGCCTGATCCACGCATCGATTTTTTTGTTAACATCGACTTTCGTGAGCAGATTGGGAACCCAACTTCGACGTCACGTTGGCTCAGTTGATGATAAAACCTTGAATCTGCTGGCGTCCGTGTTAGAATTGAGACTAAATATTCTCACATGTCATTGTTCACTAACGTTGATGCCAATGAACTACTGGAGGATAATAGAGCAGACGTACCAGTCGCAAAACAAGTACTTTTTTCTATTCACAGATTGTTCCGACTGAATTCTAATGGTTTATTCTTTTGCGTTATGGTTTGTCTGGACACCCAGTCTTCGACAAGGTGCTGCAAGCTGTCGAGGATTGACTCTTCTCAGTAAGTCAACTTATCACTCTTATGCTACGAATACCACAAGCGTACATGCACGCCCTACGTCGCATACCAGGTGCCCCTAACTGCATTTCTTCTCGCAAACTTGCAAATTGACGTAGCAGCTTAACTGTTGAAACTACGAGTGATGTGTTAGTTAATTAGGACTATAAACGCGTGTTCATTCCGTGTCCAGTTTGCTACTGATTGGCTAATGAAGAGGACACTGGAGTGGTTGATGAGCTAGTCACTGTGAAATTGGAGTGGTTTGTTAATTACAGCTAATGCTATGGTATTTAGTAGGTTGATGATTTGCGTGTGGCGTTGTTGCATTAAGAACAAACTTCACAGAGTCCGTGCAGGGCAGATTCAGGCATTACTACTTCGCTTTGCTTGGGACTTCAGCCATGTTCACTCTGCCTCGCAAACTAAGGTCTCCATTGTACTTTCCCGAGTGATGAGCTGCAAAAACTACGAATGTGCCTTGTAAGTTAATTTTGTTTTTTTAAATTATGGGACGCATATTTTAGTAGATTTCCTTCCTAAATAACCAACTTAACCAGATTGCGTCTAACACGAGCGACATTTTAGCCATTGGTTGTCTCGTTCAAGTCCCACAGGTCGTGTCCATTGGTCGCGATCGCTGACGTCGAGGTGCAGGCAAAGGCTCTCACCAATGATGTTTCCAATCTCAGCGTATCATCCAGCAATGGCGACACGACCATGGAAGTAAGCTGGACCTGCAGAAATGCGTCCTTCCAGCATAGGTGTAAGAAACCTCTAGGACTGCCTCTGTGTGGAATCCAACAGATGATCCGGGCCTATCTCCCTCCAAACCAGCGACTTTCACCGCCGCACCAGAATTGACTATCACACTTTATCCGACAAAACGGATTTTCTAGCAGGGACAAAAGTATGCGGTTATACCTTCGTTCCCGGCATTGGCGAGAAAGTCTCTGCTAGGGACAAAAAACAAATGGCAGGTGTATTCTTCCTAATGGTTCACATAATGGTTTGATATGCAAAGCTAAACAGAATGGTCCAATGTGATTTTGCTAAGATTTGGAGCTGCAACGAGATCCTTGAAGGCGTCAACACGAATATTGTAAGACGGAGTTGCGGAACACCTGTTCGAGGGACAAATCCGTTGCTTCTGGCTAAATAATAGACAGTGGCGTGGTAGCAATACAAGTCAACACAAATAGCGTTTGGGTTGTTGCCCTCCTGATTGCTTTTTATGCTGTTTAAATCGACAGCAAAGAAGAATTCGACGATTTCCAAATTGGTCAATTTCGCGATATTCAGTTCCTCACTTACATGACAAGTAACTAGCATTTTGACTTACACACAACCCCCTGGCAGTAAGTACGTTGTTAGCAGTAGAAGTGTTTGAATTCAATCAAAAATGGCAAAATTCACACAAAGGCCTAAATTCTATCGAATTACATTACCGCCTAAGCTCTACTTTACCATTTGCATTCAATATCACCGTGCAGTGCTCTGGGGTTGTGTTTCTTGGATGTGTTACCTTTGCCTGGCTTTCATTGTAGTGAATTTGCTAGGAGAAATCGAGAAGACAGGTGCGTGAAGCTGCTTGGAGGAACCAGACGGCTTCACTCTAGACAGCAAAGGAACCCGAATGCGGCGTGCAGCTTGTTGTACTGGCTGCTCGGTTTCCGCATATCGAGAATGTGAAAGCAGATTGCGAAGACGCGGGACTGAAGCGCCGTCGAAACATCAGGCAGTAAGCTTGAGTATTTCACTAAGAAAACTTGTGTTCTAGCATTATGGGACCACAGGCAAGTCCCCGCACACTGGTTTCCACTGAAATCCTGCATACACAATGCTGACTGGCTGCTCTTGGTGGCTACTAATCTCAGTTGGTTTGCAATTACTCTGTAGTGCTTCGAGTTTCTCAAATTGAAGTTCGGTTTGTGCTAGGAGTTTTCAAATATCTTTCACCCTGGTTTTGACACCGTTCTGCTTTCCCTGCACCTAGTTCCTTTATCCAGCCGTATTGTTCAATATGCGACTGTGTTCCCTGGAGTATATTTGACAAGGGAAATTGAGCTGAATAA